TTTTTTTAAGTATTTTGAATGCACTTTCTTTTAATTAAAAAATCTATATATTTTTTTCACTCAGAATATGGATTTAAAATTTTAATAGTATAAAACCTTGAAAATATTGTTTTATTCCACAAAATATGTATATGAGTAAGTAAATCTAAAATTTAAGTAATATGTAATATTTTCGAAAAACTATACATTATGACTGAATACGTGAAGAAGCTGAGATTAATATAAGCTGGTCATATTATAAGATCACGAAAAAAACAGATATGTTTTAACCAACAAATTGCCAAGAAATAAAAAAGAGAAGTTGCACATACGGAGTAAAAAACAGGTTGCTGAGAATGGAAAGGATAAGGTTCTCCGAAGACTGTTGACGATAAATAAGTGTAACATTTCTATTACTATTTACTTAAACGTTAATAAAATTCCTTTTCATCCACATATTACTTTCAAAGATAATTCTGGCTTTATTGTTTTAATTATATTCTTAGAACTATAAACTTTAATACATCATTATTTATTAGGCGATCAAGATAATTTTATTTCTGCTAATCCTTCACTAACTCGTATTCACATTCAACCAGAATGATATTTTTTATTTTCTCATGTAAGCTTAATAATATTTAATAATATTTTCTAATGTGCACAAATGACAAATTTATCCTATAATAATATTTATATTATTAATTTCTACTTCTTGTACTTATTATAGATCCTCTCTTTGGATTGAATCTCCAAGGTTCGATTTCGGTAAGTTTATTTGCTTTTATTATAAACAAAATTTGTTCAGTTCGGCATAAGCAATAATCTTCTTTATGGACTGATAATAATATGTATGAAAGTGTCTAACTTATAGCTGAGGTTAATTAATAATTAATTCATAATTAAAAACGTCTTCTTTTTTTAAATGCTTCCAGTGTACTTTAATAGATATAGAATATTATGCGATCTTCTTTCTATCTATTTTTTTTTAAAAATTGTCAACTCTTAAAGTCTTGAAATTTTTCTAATTATCAGAAATATGTTATTTTCTTAGAGTTTTTTAGTGAAGTCGTCTGATCGAGAGAGTGGTAGTTGTTTAGTATGAATTTTTTATAGATCATCACCATTTTTTGGAACGATTATTCAAATTTTAAAATAAAAGCTTTTTCAATTTCTTTTTAATTATTTGTATTTGTTTTTTTTTTTTTGTAAATAAAAAAAAAATTTTCATATTTATATAAGTAGTATGTATATAACAAATTTTACTTAAAACTAATTTAGTGTCTTCCATGGTTTGCTTAAACTAAAACTTAAACTAATTGTTTTAAATCATTGTCTTCCATAAACTTAAGAACTAAAATTAATACAATTAAAAATACTCAAGGCACTGCACTCATACAAATATTTACAGAATATACATTTCAATTACTTTAGACTACTAAACACCTTGACTAGTGTTCAAAAGTTGAGCCAGATTGTTGCAACAGGAACTAAAAGATGCAGTTGACAATACTGAATTGCAGCCACTGGGTTATTTTGTCTCATATTTTTCTTTAAGGCGGGTTAATTTCAAGCATCACATCACAAATGTTTCCTTTGACTTTACTGTTCTTGCCATGAGGAAATATAGTCCAATAATTCATCATCATCAGGTTGATCTTCATTATTAAGTTGACTGTAGTTGTCGAATGGTTCGAATTTAAAATGCAAATCTGAATGCTGTGTGTCGTCTAATTTTATAGGTTGCAAATAGTTATTTGCACCTCCAATAGATATATCAGAATCACTAAATGATGGTGCGGGTGAAGCTGATGCGTCAGAGTGGTAGGAGTGTAGGTGTTGATATTGCGCATCAGCTGGACTGTCAATTGATGAGTACCCATAGCTCAAGCCATCGTTGCTGTTTTCGTCTAAATGTGATTCGTTCGCATCCTTACAATCATCTAGCATATCTTGCAGACCTCGTATGTACTCAACTGCAATACGTAATGTATCAACTTTGGACAGTTTCTTGCTAGCACCACGTCCACCATTTGATAATGTGTTGATCACTGATTGCGGTATGTGCTGACGCAGATTAGCAAAACCATTGTTCACTTGTTTGACACGATTGCGTTCACGTGCGTTACGCCGTGCTACCGAAGGCAATTGCTCACCATAAGGCATATTGGCATAAGTGTACTTCTTCTTATTTAGCATGGGTCCAACGCCGGATTGTATGTTCTGCAAATTGCTGTTGCCCAAAACTTTAGTTGGAGTTGGCGCAATTGTTTGAAGTTTGTTTACATATTGCGTTGGCTGTTGTTGCATCAAAACATAATTTCCATTCATTAGTTGGAAATGTTGTTGTTGCTGGTAATTTCTTGGTGTCATGCAAATACTAGCCATGATTTTTATTTAATTTTTTTAATCCACGATTTAATTAAGAAAATATTTAATAATCCACAATTTGATTTTGCTACGTTTTTATGTTTACACTGGTTGATCGTTTAGGCACAACTGATTTTGTGGCACCGCTGCACTGTATTTTTATGTTGCTGAGTTTGCTTCTTGACTGTTTGGAATCAAATTCCGTAATGTTGCCCTTCGTTCTCCGTCGGACCCTTAAGTACAATTCTGTGCAGGGAATTTGAATTGGTGGTGTTTCTCTGTGCTCTGTGCGTGCTACCTGCTTATTGTCGCAGAGGGTTAAGCTATCGCAAGTGATCGTGATTACTGGCGTAGAACGAAAGAGCGAGATGTGAGGTGATTTCTGTACGATTGCGAGGTTAAGTAGAGAGTGAGTAACTGAGCACTGTTACTGAGTAAACAGGTTCGCTTAGCAGAACTGTAAGAAAATTTCAAAGACAGAATCGATTGTAACGCATGTAAAACTAACAGAAAGAATACCAAAGAATCTTTAGGATTTGTGAGATGTGTAGGAAAAAAGTGCTTCATATAAACTACATGTATTGATTTGTTGAGTTGAGTTAGGTTTAAAATAGTATACATATGTATATTTTATCAAAGCCTGTATATGGAATGGACTTTCTAACAAAGTAGTTAAAGTGCTTAGTGTCTAATTTAAGTAAAATAAAGGTTCACTCAGAGATATTTTCCATTGGAATCATAATTTATTTCTAACTATATTAATTCAAATAATTATTTTCAAAAGCTAGAGGCCTGTGTCGGTATAGCCTTAATTTCTTATATACCTAAGTTAATTGTATATTTTATGTACAATGTAACTTCTAAATAACAAGAAAAAATGAATCTGTTTTCAATTTTTTTACTTATATATAAAAAAATTTCGATACTAAAATATACTAATGGAATCTTATATGATTTCTCTCCCACACATTATACTTGTTAGTATTTGTTATAACTATTATATAGTATTTATTATCTATTAGTTTATCTTCTAATTAATTATATAAACCATTATAGCTTTACAGTTAATACAAAACATAAATCGAATGTATTTATGAACATCAGACAAAAGTACGCTTACGACTCTGTTATTACTGTAATTACTTAGACTCTACTTAGACTTAGAGTCTACTTAGACTTAAACTATATACATACATATACATATATATATTGAAATATTTGCTTCATATAATCGAAAAGACTTTGCTTTAGAACTATACCATAAAAATTATATTTCGGTTAAACAGTCAACCTATTAAGTAACACTAAGACGTATACCTCAAGTCAAAGCATTACAATGTTAGATGAAAAAAATATATCAAAAAATTAACTTTTTTGATCACTAAATTATTTATCATGAAGAATTTTCATATAAAGATAAAAAATTGTTAACTTCAGATATTCATAACTTAAGATCTAAAAAAAAATAAAAGTAATAAAAAATATTAGTAAAATGAATTGTGTAATTTTTTGGAAGGTTCAGAAGTAAATAAAGTCAACTTTTTATGTAGGGAGTTTCCATAATATATTATATAAAACATTTATATACACATATAATCAAATATTTCTATATCTCTACCATTACGATTTATTCAGTGTATAATAATTATTCAAGTTAGTATAATTTATACTTTATGTATTAAATGAAATTAATTCATTATTTATATATAATTCATAATTATATATAATTCAATATAATTCATCATTGTTTTTAATTTCTATATATTTATTTGTCTGTATATATAACCTTTTTATAATCACATATATATAAGTATAAGCAGTCGCGTGCCATATCAATTGGCAATGCGCAATACCAAAATATTCATGTTTAAATCACTGTTAATTAATCGCTCAAAAAATGTTAACTACAGCGAAGAGTTAACAGTCTCATCTCTGGATAGATTTGAGAACTCACGTTTTCTACCTAATCTTTTCATTTTAGTTTTGCTCTGCTTACTTTTGTGCAACTTGTTCTTTATAACTGCACAGTTTTTTAGTTTTGCTTTGTTCTGTTTTGATTTTCTATTCTTGACTGGAGACATATCCTTGTAACAATTGAACTCATAGATGTGTGATTTTGTTGTTGTTCCATGATTCTCGAAGATTGTAGGAAATCTTTAGAATAATGGTTCCTTAAATAATTTTCAGGTATATGTCCTGCCATGACAGTGTATTGGTATCTTCTCACAATAGCATATTATGAACTTTAATTCACAAAGGATATCTGAGATGTATGCCAATAATAGAATTTTGTCCTTTCTTTTAAGATTTCAAATCTTTTTTAATTTTTTCATACAGAAAGTAAAATTGAAATTTTATACTTCAAAAAAAATCTTCATTTTATTTTCTTGGGTTCCTGCAAGTGTCGATTCTAGAGGGAAAATTAGTGTTCTGGAACTTGCCGAGCAAGGTGGTTGATGGTTAAAATTTAAAAAATTTCATGAAACAAGATTTATTTAAAGTACCACGTAAAATTTTCTATTGGAATTTTTAAATCAATATAGGAATATTTTATTCTAATTAAATATTTTTAATAGTGCTAATATAAACTGTTAAATCGATATAGAATAATTATAACGGAGGAATCAGCACTAGTTCAACAAAATGTCTCCATCCTAAATAAATTAAAACGTTTTTAAGTTCAAGACAGTAATGTTGTAATCCAGAAAAAAATAGTTACCTATATTAATTTTAGTAGTTAATAAAATCAATTTTTATAAAAGCCATCAAATTATATTTTAATTATTTTCACTTAAATAGATTTTTGAGTCTCATTTTATTAACTGGTATTGAGAATTACTTTATAAGATTAATTTTATTACTGACGGATGATTTACTTAAGTAAAATAAAGATAATCATTTCAAAGGGTGTAGACACACTTTTACAATTATTTTATCCAAGTTTATTGTCTATAACTACTTATATTGGATTTCTAACAAAAGATATAATCTCTTGGATATTTATTATCTTTCTAATTAATTTTGTTTTTATTTTAAAAACTTCATGTATTTAATAAAATATATTTAAATATCTTAGTAAGTGATCTATTTACTAAGCTGCAAATAAAAATACAAACTTATAGTATTTTAATTAATATTTTATTTAATATCAGTTTTTTTTAATAGCGAAAACCTTTAATAATTCTTATATACATACCCCTCTATACAATGATCAACATAATTATTATTATAATGAAGATTTAAATTTACCCAATGTTTTCGTTCTGTTAAATAAAAAATAATATATAAAAATAAAATAAAATATATATTTAAAGTTGATTTATTTTTTAGTCCTTTTTTAAAAACAATTTGCAATTAACGTACTGGTTTTTTTTAAATTTAGTCGTCATAATATATTGTATTTACAGTCTGATTTAGATCAGTTCTAGCAAGAATACCTTTTTCGACTTACTATATAATTTAAGGCAATCTCGAGTCGACACTCATCGTCACCCAATTTTTGTGTATTTAAAAAGGGATTCCGGCAGAGGACCCTTCCATATATATAATGATAAAAAAGTTTAATGTTTGATAAATTGTCCATATGTTGAAAGGTATTTGCTACAAAAGTTTTCACATGTATTCGAGTATAGTATATAATGGCAATAATTTCAAAATAATATAATTTTTAATTAAAGAGTATTTATTTAAACTTTTAGGTACATTTTATTCCCTTTAAAGGAGTACTGTTTCTATATTATGCATTAAC